ATGTAAAGCACTGACGTCTTTCCAAGATTAACAGGGATCCCCAGATCGAAGCCCACTCCATCATGTTGTGGATGGATTGGGTTAAGGCCTGGTGGATGCACTCGTGTGTGTCTTCATTATAAAAGCCGTATACCTTGATGTCGTCAGCGTACATTTGAATTTTTACCGACGGGTGCGTTGCCAAACAGCTAGGTGAATCATAGGTGTATGCCAAAAATTAAGGGTGACAATATACTTCCCTGGGGAACCCCACTGCTGCACAAGTATCGGCTCGAAAACGCGTTACCAACTCTAGCACACATGTGTCTGTCATTTAGATAGGCGAATCCAAATCAAAAATGGGTCCACTGACACCCTGATGCCGTGGCCCACGTAAAAACGGTAATTTTTCTCTTCTGACACTTCTTATCAAATCTTTCAGCTGCCAACAGTTCATGTCACCACCTAGGTTTTTGTGAAATAGGGCTTTGCGGGATTATAAGACAGATGTATTTCTTTATATAATTTTTAAAATGTCGTAATGTGTTCGAAACATCGCCCATCTTCTCTAGCTCCAGTTATTCACCAGCTCTTCGCTTGCTCTGCGAAGCCAGAGTGCTATTGACGTTATCGTGGCTATAGTGGACAACGATACATGTTACCAGTTGGCCAGATCTATACCACACACCTGCGAAGTTTTGCAATCAGCCTGACGGAACGCGTGGTCTCCATTGTGGCTATATCGCATATGTTGTTCGCTGTTCTACATGAATGCGAGCAACTCATTACATTTGATTGCGAGTTCTAGGTAGATTACTACAATCCCAGCAAAATTGGTGATGAAGGAATTTTTCGGATCTGCCTGTTATGTTTTTGCAACGATGATGACAACGATCTGTCAGGAGATGTGGCTTGCACACAAGCCAGAACCACGAAAAGGAGGGAGCTAAAGGTTCAGAGTTAGGATGCATCGTTGGTGGTAACATGCAGACTCCATGTGTGACCACACCAACATGATGAGAGCGTAGTGAAGTTCTCCTTTTACTGCTGACTAGACTGCCTCCACCTTAGTCCCGTCTACAACATTCGTGTTCATCAATTGTGGTGAAGCCTCGTGCCAGTCAAAAGTCAAGGAATCAGCGGGAATGACCAGATGTGCTTGAGTAATGGCTGTTATAGAGCGATTTTCAAACTAGTCTTTTTTTCTTTTTCCTTGAAAATGTCCCGTGACCATGTGACCCATTTTGCGCATTTTCACTCGCTCAAAGGCAGTTGGCACGATAAATCCCCGAAGTCGAGGATTAATACGCCTGGCAGGACGGAATTCCGCGACCCTGAGCAGGCGCTGCATAATGCCTTTTCCAAGGAAGGTGCTCTTATAAGGGCCCTATCAACATTCCTACCCAAACGCCCGCCACGCCCGCCCGCCCACAAATGGACGACGCTCCTTAATTTTTTTTAATTCATTTGCTAAGCAAATTATGAAGCGAAGGGATTGGTATGAAGCGGCCGTGATGCTGCATGATATATGAGTACACATATGCAGCCGTACCTTCGGTAGCGGTTATTGGCAAGATGGGAAACTCGTCCAAAATTGATTTTGAACACATTGAGAACGGAGGCTCTTTCTTCGCAGGATTTTGACCGTTTCACTCCGTTCTTTCGCCATTTCCCCACTATATAGCGCCCTACTAGCATTTTAGGCCGAGCACCAAATCATCGTGCCAACTGCCTTTGAGGGAAAAGAGACTTGCGAAGCCAGGCCGGGACGGTGAAGCCGGGCTATGACCTAGAAGGAGGCGCACCTGGCGACAACAGGGTAATCCGAATGGTTTTGTGTAAAATGGGAGCGACAACCTTATTACTATTCGGCTGCGTCCATACTTTGCGCAGGGTCCACCAGCGTTTTGAGCCTTTGACAGCGTCAGCGACTCGGGAAGTGTACATATCGTTCTAGCGTCTGCCAGCGTCCAACAGCCTACACCAGCTTTCACCAGCGTCTCGAGGGCCTGAGAAGTATGGCTTTCGATCTAGCGTCTTCCAGCGCGCACCAGCGTCTGCCGGCGTCCAGGAAGAGCATGGCGCAGTAGGAGAGTAGCAGACGGTTGGTACGCGCCATACCCTCTACCACCTGTCTGCTGCTCCCCTATCCGCCATAATCTCGCCTCCCCAGTGGAGGCTAGATCGATACCTATGCAAAGTAGCCTCGGCCACGAGAGGGCGAACCACTAATACACAGAAGGGAGAAAGGCAGGAACCAACTCAGCTAGCTTTCCTTATGTGCTGGAAAATTCGTGGTCGAATGGTGACAACATATTAGCTCCCATTGTATTTTTTTTTGTTAGCTGCCACTGTCCGGCAGTGACGGCGTGATTGCCTTCACAGCATTGCCTAGCTCGGCGAGAGCATTAGTAGAGTATTTTCTCGCTGGTTGATTTGACAGATACAGTTACAGGGAGTCAGTCAGCTTGGGAAATACGGACCCAGGAAGGGTCGACAGAATCTGCGCCCCAATGTTGTATTCGGTGATATGTTGAACTTTTATGCAAAATCGAGTTATCGGTAGATTCCCATATTGACTGGATTGAGTCCTAGTGGAATACTATGTATTTCGTCCTGCCTTTAACGTCTATCTCGTTTTCCACTATATCTGTAAGTCTTTTTCTTCTGTGGCGGTCTGTCGGGAGTGGACTGGACGAAGATGATGAGAAAGTGTGATGATACCGGTCGGTTCCGTGGGGTTCATAGAGGAATCTGCATACTCCGCTGCGCGCTTTGTAACGATTTGGCTTATCGTCCTATGGTGATGTTTCTAACGGTGATTCTTCTCTGTTCTGTTGTTGACTGTTTCTTCTTCTTGCGATCGTTATCGACTCTTCTTCGGTGTAATTTCGATGTCGTCTGTGTCTTCTGATCGTTGATATTCCTTGTAGTGAGCCTTCTCTGACGCGTTCCTAGATTCTAGAGGTCGTCTTGCTCTTGGAAGTTCTCACTACTGGCGTCTCCTCGCGGTCGTTTGTTGTTGTTTCTAGAGCAGCCTCTTCTTCGTCTTCATGTTCAACTGGAACAAGAGGTTTACAGGTCGACAGAAGGTATGCCCATTTAGTAGTCTGATGTGCGCTCCACGAATCCTTTGTTGAGCAAATCACGTCCTGTATTCGTATTAGGCCTAAGAGTTCCGTAGGAGAAGTGGATCAGAAATGCGTAGCACGGTATCTCGTAATGGTTTTCTTCAAGTTCCGGTCTTTCCATTGATCACCGACTTGTGTTTTTCTCGAAGGCTTGTGAATCACAGGTTCGGCCATATTTTCCAGAAGCTTACTGTGATTTTGTGGCTCATCTGGAGGGCGTTTTCCCGCTTATTGCTTGTTCTTGGTCTTCCGTCAGAGGGAGAGTAGTCTTCATCACTTCTGTTGGCTCCACAAGCCTCAAAAGGGAATGTGATGAGAATGTCGCGCTGTATAAAGTCTATAGAGAGCAGAATCGTGGTTCCTCTAAATTCCTCTTCTTGACATGTAATTGGTCATGTTCAAGCTTCCCTCTATTTCAATTAGAACGGTTTCCAGATCCGACTTCTTCAAGACTCTCTTCCGTATGAGTTTAGTGCTTCACGAATTAGATCAGACATTCGTGAACGCTCCTTGCCATAAAGCAAACGGTGTACTCGTTTTCCAGTCTATTCCCATTGAGGTTATTCAGCTTGAACGAGATGTGTGGCGGAGCGCACTGCATCTTATTGACTCTGTTCGGCTAGTAGGTTATTCGAATTGTCCGATGTTATTATTGCTGGACTCCCTCTCCGGGAGAAAAATCTTCGTATTGCATTGGGAAAGTAGGACTGGTCATATCTTAGGCCAATTTCCAGGTGAGGAAGGCGATTTGTTGTACAGGTACAGATTATTCCATAGATGTGAACTACTTCTTCTTTTTAGCTCGCTGAGAGTGGTCCGAAGTGGTCCATTCCTATGTACTTGAACGGTCGTGTCTTCTCCCTCGGGGTATGTACTTGTATGAGGGATTGTTTATTTTTTGCCGAGGAACAATCTTCTTATGATTTGTTCAGCTAACGGGCGGAGCTTCGGTAGTCAGAAATAGTTTCCTTCGTTGGCCATTGTGTGTGCTATGGAGCACAAGGGGAGGTGTATCTGCATTCTGCACGATTATCCTCGCGAGGTCACTTCTTGTCTACAAAGAGGGTTGACGTGATTTGAAAGCAAGCTCTGCATTTGCGAAACATCCTCGACATCGAAATAGACCATACTGATCCTTTTGTAGTTTCGGTTGCTTCCGTGCGTTCCCTTGGCTTCTTAAGGGGTGTCATCTGGTGATTAAGGATGATCACGTGCAGTGCCAATTTTCTTTCAACAGCTGTGAGATACCGTTTGTTCGTGATTTCCTGGAGTTATGGAATTGTTTTCATGATGGGTAATTGTAGACGTGGATTTGGCGTGTATTCGTGGCCAGGTTTTCGGTGAAGCGTAGAAAGTAAGCTACTGTTCTCTTTAAGGGAAGAACCCGCGATTACTCGCCATCTCAGATGGTGGATTAGGGGGTTCCATATAGACGACAAGGGGTTGAGTAACTCGACTGTGAACAAAAAAAGCACAAAAACATGCCACCTGCCCTAGATAGAACCCCATTTCGATCCCAGTTTGTACGTGCCCAATCAACTCTATCTCCAAAACTACGCCCTCATATGCACGGCTGATTCACCGATAAGATTTCTACGATCGTACAAGTGGCGATTATCATGCTTTTTCGTCCTGCAATCTCATTTTTCACTGGAAGTCGGTCATTAGGGGCGGAGTCTGGAGGCGGAGTCACTGGAAAAAGGAGGAGCCACTGAACCTATATTGCGCTACAGCGCCCCTCCCATAGAATTTTTGCCGCGAAACCGGTACAAGGTTGTTCGTCGCGGACCACTCTAACCTCCTGACGCCATATTTTCAACTTCGATACCTGATCGCGGACCGTGCCTTTAATGAAGCCATGTGTTATCCTCTTCCAGTCCAGTAGTTCTTCTAGGCTATAGTGCGGCGCTGTTGCTGCTGAGCATATGTAGGTGCTGTTTGGTAAGGTGAAAAGTCGACAGACGTCAGGCCATTCTCCAATCCCTTCTCGGATGAAGGCTGGACCTTTCCACCACATGTGATTGATCAAGGTGTGCTTATCTACTGCTTGGCTAGTCATATATCTGCTCTACTGCCATTGGTAATAATGTACCCAGAGTGTACTGGTGCGTGATATCGGATGCTATTCTTCTGGTTTCTTCAACGCAATTGTTCACAAAAATTCCCACTGGTTTCTCAATTGGCTGTAAGCTTATTCAGCTGAGAGCAATGTCAGAATCCGAAAGAACAATTACATCATCAACTGTTTTTCGATCTTGTACCGCCGATGAGATCGTTGTCATAGTTAAGGTGTTTAGCTCCAATTTAGAAACTATCACTTTTTCCTTCAAATGATATTTCAATCTTCCGACGAAGAGATTGGTTTCTTCGTGCACGTTGCCATCCCTTGTGCACTAGCATCCAGAATACAATAAGCTTTGAGTGCTTCTCCCCAATTTATGGAGCTGTTCTGGGTAGAAATTTTCGAATGCTTCCGCGATAAGCTCCCGTTGTTGTTGATTCTCTCTCGACAGTGTCTCGTCCCTCTGGCAGTTGTATTTCCACAACTGTGAAAGGAATCTTTTTCCAGTGCATGTTAGTGGTGCAAGCCATCCTATAGAATCATAAATACCTGTTCCGAGACTGATTCTTTTCTGAAACTCGATTTCTTTGGATAGGTGCATGGGAGGGAAATGTCGTGCTCTCTCGTGTTCCATGCGATTCCAAGTACTTCCACTTCTGCAGAATGACACAGGTCCGCCGGTGCAATTTCGTCCTTCAAATGGCTGTTGTTCGATTGAAATTGTCATGGGTTTATGCTGAGCTCGTTGAAGACTGTCTTTGCTTTTTCGTAGATTTCCAAGGCTTCATTCGTTGAGGATGCTGTTAATATGGGGTTGTCGACGTAGAAAATGTCCTCTATGTTCTTCCATCTTTTACCATCGTCCGTAGGTGATGACTGGTTGTTCCAGCAAGCAGGAACGGTGAGCAGTTCAGTCCAAAAGTAACGCCAGTGAATCGATATATGACGATGTTTTCTTCAGTAGGTGGGCCATGCATGTAACTCTACGCGAATCTTGTTGCATCGCCATCCGATGGATGTAGGCCGACTTGCAGGAAGGCTCTCTCCAGTCGCCAATGATTGCTGCCTCCCCTATTCTGAAGCGAAGTAAGATGTCGCATATTCCTTGGAAGAATGACTGCACCTTGATTTAAGAAACCGTTGAGCGGTGGGCGACTCTTAAGGTGCGCAGATGCACCAAATACGATTCTGACTTTGTAGTCGTTTTTGAGGAGTTATGACTGCATGATGAGCTAAGTAGTGCACGTTTATCCTTTAGGACTTCGCTCTTCACTGACTTCTTCGATTATTCACTTTTCCAACTGGTTCCTGATTGCATCATGGTATTGCTGTAGTATGTCTTTATTTTTCTTTAAATGAATAGAATTAGGTTCGTGCCGTTCACAAGCGAGCTCTTTCTTGTCCCGGAGTTGACCGACATGGGTTTCCGAGGAAGGCGTCCATCCTTTCGTTTTTCGATATCCTCTCCGAATGTCTTCCAGACTGCTGAGTTTGTTGATCAACTTCTTTCAAATTTGAAAAATTGTTCCCATGCTTGTACTGGGCACGATTGCGCTCAGGAACCCATATAATCAGTTGCTCTGTACGTACTCCAAACGGAAGTTTTCTCGACTTCTTTTTGTTTTGCACCTCTTCGTCCTGACGTGAGGTATCCCATTTCGGATGGAATCAAGGTTAATACAAATGGTAGTTATGATAAAATCGAGCTATCCCTGAGCCTCATGATTCATATGATCTTCTTCGGAAAATTGATAATGAGAACTCGTTCACAAAACACCTTTATTGGTGAGCTTTCGCTGTCTTAACAGCTTCGTCAGACCTTAAATGAAATCAAGTATACATGGTATTACAATTCCTAACAACTAAGTTGCTCGAAATACAAACCAGGTTGACCTGCCCGTCAACGGCAATTTGGTTAGAGTCTGTAATACAATTCCTAATACAATGTCAAGAGTGCAACTGTAAACAATCAAACTACAACGAATGACCAGCTTACCCCAGCGCAACTGCCAATGCAACTAAACGTCGCTAGAAATGTGACGCGCGTGACATTTGTCAGTACTTCTTTATCACTACCGCTATCCTATTAGCCTCATTGCTTCCATGA